CCATGTGCGTTGGTCGGAAATTCCGTCCAACTACGTGCATTGGTCAAAAATTTCGACCAATGTTGGACGGAAAACTCACATATTATATTTTGTAATTTCCCTTCCCACTGTTGGTAGGAAAATCTTAAATCATGGAATGTTTTTATTATTTTTATATTACCATAATTTTATTTATACCTGTTATAAATAAATTATATGTTATCAACAAATTAATGGACACGCTAAATTTCAAATTGAAAATATATTTAAACATCAAAATTCTTTACAACAAAAAGTATGGTCATGTTCATAAATAAGTCATGAAAATATATAGGGTATCCCCCTTCTTTATAATAAAAAAAAAATACTACTTAAGTATGCTGCACCCAAATAAGCCTTCAAATCCGGCACTACTTCAATGGCTTTGATCAATCCATCATCCACAACCTTCTTCTTCAATGACTTTGATCAAGTGTAGACCTTCACCAAAATTAGGCCGTGATAAATTTCAAAATGCAAAAACCATACAGAAAACATAAACAACACTTGGAAAAACAAACTTAGAAGTCATTTCTCTCTTGCAACTGCAAATAATCCAGTAGCAACAAAATCATCATAAGCAACCTGAGATAAACATTTCATCAATTAAACTTGAAATGGACCACCATCCATCAAAAGCACCCATACATGTTAGGGATATTCATGTTTTGACCAAAACCAATCACTTTCAAACTCATGGGTGTTTGAAGAACAAGAATGAGGTGATACCGAAAAGGCACAAGAACACTATAAATTGGTAACCAAAGCTGTATGTGGGAAATAGTCGAATAAATCTGTGAAAGTCTTCCAAACATTAGCATTACCATATCTGTGAAATTTAACTACAGCCAATCTAAAGAGGTTTACTAATAAAAGAAAAGAGAGAAGAAAGTGGCTTATAAATAGACTTGTACTAAGAACCATTAAAGATCAACTGAGTTTATCCAACAGCTTATATCAAACAACATAAAGCATTCTTGCAGCATTTTAGCATTGGAATATATGCTCTAATGTTTAGAGACCTAATTCTTATTTGTTATAATTAAATCAAACTAACAATAATAAAGACTACTTGATTAATCATATCTGACAGAAATTACAGACACCAATTTTATCTCATAATGAATACTTCTAATTGCCAATTTCTATGTCATATGACGCAGCAATTCAAGAACAGGAAGCTTACAACCTTACATTTAATAAAGAATTTAATACATTCTAAAGAAAGAAGGAAATTACCAGTTATTCTCTTGCTCATAGTAGCATTCGCAAACAGTTTTAGCCCCACTTCCAACAGCAAACCTATTTTCTGGAAGTAGAGAAAACATCAATAGAAAAGTGAAATTTTTTTGTTAATTCCAAGTAAAGAAGATATCATGCATCACAAGAAAGTTATAAATTATCATAAATAACAATATTATGAATTTATTCCAGTGATAAGTGGACCATGGAACAGAAGGAAGGATAATTAGAGCTTATTGGGTCCTTGGAAGGATGGAGTGTGTGGCATACACTATCTAGAGTATTAAATATATTGTCACAACACTCAAAAGTAGTAATTCACTCGAAGGAAGGATAGATGCCAACAGAATATCACCGACGTCAAAGGATATATGCCAACAGAATCACAGAAGAAGCAATGTTCAAGGAAAACAATAAGTAAAAACAGATTAATAAAATAAAGAGAGTAGAGGTTTCAAATTTTAGATTAAGAAGCAGCAGCACCTAGTAGAACAAAAAGGCATAAAAAACACAATGATTACTTGATAAAATTACTAAATTTCTGCATACCCTTGTATAAATTCATTAATCAGTGGCCACAACTCCTCATCCCTCAGTTTATTTATCGTTGGATCTTATCAACAACCTGAATTGCAATTCTAATTTTTGACGAAAGGCTCCTGACCAAATTTCTTGTCACATCAATTTTGTGTGCCTCAGCACCCTTTTCATCTAGCCGCTTCAGTTTTTTACTTCTCTCGTGGTGTACTCTTATTCTCTCCTCAACCTGCAAAGTGTGAGTGTAAAGAAGACATCTTTATTACACAAGTCAAAGAGTGAGAAAAGATATACTGTTGATATGCACAATAGAAAAAGAGTAAAAGACAAGATGAGAGTTTAAAATGCATCTGTATATAACATTTTTAAAAGAAATAGTTTCATGACAAAACTGGCCAGGAACTTACTAGCAAGCTGCAAAGTTTCATTACGAAGCTCATCCCTTAGCTATTAGAAAATTAACAGACATGACGAAATAGTCAGACAGTTTAAATATCAATTCAGATCAATTATTCCAATACCAAAAAGATAAATTAAAAGCGAGATGTGCCAACTTCCCACTGTAAGCTGATTCAAGAATGATAGTTTACAAGAACACTTATAGTTTCTCCTAAATTTCCATGAATATGCTCAGAGACATAAACATACACTCATACAACCAGGGAATCATGCAAATCAACAATACAATAGAAAAGCTTACGACTCTGCAAAAATCCCAATTAGTACAAACGATAGAAATTTCAACTTGTAGATCTAACCTGAAGAAGCGATGTAGTACTAGGGTTTCGGGTGGTAGCACGTGAGGGTTAAACTTTAACAACAATAGAAGATTAAAGTAGAAAGTATAAAACTAGAAGCACCTACCTTCGTTCACAGGGGAGACTAAGTTTAGAGTCAGCAACTTCGTCGTCGGCAGGAGCGGAGCCGGGCAGTAGCTTCGTCATCGGCAAGGTCGGAGGCGGAGACCGGAGAGGAGATGCGAAGTCTTCCGGTGTCGTCGGCAGCAGCTTTGTGGTTGGAACTCGGCATGGAGGAGCTGTCGTCTTCGTCTCGCAAGGAAGAGCTATCGGCTGAGTTGGGGGAAGCAATAGAAGTCCAGAGAATTAGGGATTAAGTATTTGGGGGGCTTGGGTTTGAAATTTAATTTTTAATTATTAAAGGCCGGTATTTGGCGGTAGTCTTGGACGGGAGTGAAAGTTTTCGAGACTTAGCTTCAACGGAGAAAAAGAAGAAAAGGTTAAAATATTTAAATTTCTGTCCAATAACATGTTGGACGGAAATTAAAATACTTATTATTTTTAATTTCTACCTATTACACAATTTGAGTTTACCAACCAACACTACAGGTTGGACAGAATTTTCTTCCAACACTGGATGTTGAACGGAATTTCCGTCCAACGCGCAAATGTTGAACGAAACTTCCGACCAACTTTCCGTCCACCCTTCTTTTGCGATAGAAATTTGAAATTTTTATTAAAATACTGACCAACTTACGGTTGGACGGAAATAGCGAGATTTCCAGCAGTGTATATCTTTTCCCTTTGTACTCCAATTATTCTTCTAGTGGATTTGGGTTGACGTGAGCGGCCCCGCAGACTTAGGAGTGAGGCTCTGAACTGCATGAACATCTCCTGGTGCATGGTTCCGTTTATTGCATTTCTAAATTAATTGTTTATTCTGTCTAGAGTAGATCCTGGAGCTAATCCAACTTGTTAATTATATTGTTTTGAAATTCAGTACCAACCTTCAAGTTATCTGTACATCCTAATTATGAATTTACAAGTGGGTACAGCATAATCATCCTAATAATCCTTTGTTTGTTAAAAAGTCATACAAACTTGTCTGTACATCGAAGTTAACGATACATTTACTTAGATGGACACTAAATTGAGGCAAAGGCCCATGTGAAACCCAGATTTATTGTGGTTAAATTTGGAAAATATGAGTGAAAAAAAAAAAAAAAAACAGAAGAATAATATAAAAGGAGAAGGGAAATTGATGCAGGGGGGCCCACTAGAACCCAATTCGAAGAATACACTTTCCAACCAACTGGAGCTACCTTCAATCGTTATGCCATGGAACCGTGTTCACCATTCATGGTGAACACGGTTTCAACGGTGTTAGTATACCGTTATCTTCTTTTTTTTTTTAAAAAAAAAAAAAAAATTAATTACGTGATTTTTCTTCTTCATTTTCACATTTCGTGGTTTCACTTTAATTTGAGGTGAGCAATGATTTCGGATATTCATAAATTATGAATTCATGCCTGCACATTCACTTTGGAACCATGCCTACACATTCCCGTCCGAAATCACGGATATTCATAAATTATGAATCCATGCCTGCACATTCACTTTGGAACCATGCCTACACATTCACTTTGGAACCATGAGATTATAAATTTTCTGTTATAAGATTATGAATTTTCTATTATAAGATTATGAATTTTCAGTTATGAGATTATGAATTTTCTGTTATGAGATTATGAATCTACATTACATTCATAATCTCATAACAGAAAATTCATAATTTAATAAATATTTTACTTTTATGCGATTATGAATTTTCTGTTATGAGATTATGAATTTTCATTACATTCATAATCTCATAACAGAAAATTCATAATTTGATCAAACGCGCGCCGTTAACTCCACATCCGTGAATTTATCTTTTTTTGCATAAAAACAACGTCGTTTGGACTTGTGTTCACCGTGAGCATAATTTGCGATAATTTGCGAGCTACCTTAAGTCTGAATTAAGAGTAACCATACAACCTCAGAAATAATCTAATGGGTGGGCCCCATATTTGCCAAACCAACACATTTGGTTAAGTGGTAATGCATGAATACCTTTTGTCGGGAGAATCCAAACGCGCCACTAAAAATATTCTCAATCGCTTCGCGGGGCCAATTTTCCTTAATTTTCTCAATAACAATTAATAATGAAAAAAACAAGGAAGACAAGCTTAGTACAACAAGAAGAAAATAAAAAGAAAAAGGGAAAAATCATTAAATTTAAAATACTATTTTTAATACTAATTCAAACACTTTTAGTAACGATTAATAATAATAATAATAATAATAAAGTAGTTTTTTTTTTAATTTTATTATAAGGAAGGGATACCCTACATACACACTACATACTTCAAGTGAGGTGTATCGAACTTATCACCTCCCACTTAGAGGAACACAAGCCACTTGGTATAATAAAGTATAATTAACGCCAAGCGGATGTGACGGCGAGTGTTTGTCCCATCCAGCCGAAGCCGATACCCCGGACTTGTTCAGTTATGGTGAATCCTGGGTTGCCACGTGTCCCCGAGTTGAGCTTGGACCGGAGCGAGTCGGGAATTTGTTGGCTCATCGGCATCGCGGTGAACCCGGCCATGCTGAGCCGGGCCCGCCACTTGCCCAACACTTCGCATCTTTCAACTCGGTCCCTCCCCTCGCAAGCAATCGAATTACCCATTTTGCGACCCAGTCCCTCCTCGATTCTGACTCGGAAATTATTCTCCCTCGGAATGGTCACGTCCAGCGAGTCAAACAGCGCGCCGTAGTACCCGCACGCCTCGTTCACGCGCGCCACGAACGGCGCGGTGTTCCCGTTCAGCTCCTGCTCCACCACGGTAACCACCGTCGGCGACAGTGCCTTCACGCGGCGGAGCAGCTCGTCCCTCCGGTTCTCCGTCGCCACGTTTTCGTCTGGGAGTTTGTACAAATTGAAAGCGAAATTCACGACCAAAGCCTCGTCGGGATCGACGGAGAGGCGCTCGCGGCTCAGCTCGATGTCTGAGCACGGCATAACGTTGATACTCAAGCACACTCCGGCGGTCTGCGCCTGTTTTTGCAGCTCCTCCTCCACGGCTCTCAATTGCTGATCGCCGCCGGGGACGTCGGCGAACGTCGTGATCTTCAACACCGTAGGGTTTTCAGGTTTCCTGGCGGCGAGCGCGTAGAGCAAATGCAAGTACCGTCCGCCGTCGCCGATGTCGAAATCAATGACGTGGAGCTTACAGAATCTCTGGTCCGATACGGCGTGGAGGATGGCTAGATTCGCCGCCATGAAGCCTAGCTTAAAGCACGGCGAAGCTTCGTACAGTTTGTGGGTGGAGAAGTGGTGTTCCTTGGTGTGCAGTTCCGATACTGGGGGAGGATATTCCACGGGGCTCACGCGCGATCGTAAAGCGGAAGTCATGTAAGCTGTGAGTCGCTGTTGGGAGGTGCCTTTCACGTTGGCCACCTGGGCGAGGCGACTGAGTATCTCCGACGCCGCCTCGTTTTTGCCTTCGGCTATCGCCGTCGCCGCCTCTGATATGGCCTGCTTCGGGCATGTTATCGCAGGACACTCCATGGAGACGGCGAAACTAATTGAGTCACCCCTTGAATGGTGAGTTTAAATCTAGAACCACACGAAACATTTAAGGGAACATTGTCTAGGGACCAACCAAAATTGAAGTTTTTCAGAGAGAATCTGAGTCCATCACACGATGAGCAACTAAGAATAAATTAAAGTTGGTTTAACAGTATATAAACTTTACTGGTTAAATTATATAATATTTTGAAACGTGGTGTACTTGTTTGTTAAAATAACAAATTTTGTGAAAATACCAAAATTTTGTGTTACAAATTCACGTTATTTATTTTTCCTTAATAATGCTTATAATAGAGACTAGAGTTCACATAATAAGATTAACTTTTGATACGGTTTCTTTTTAATGTACCACATATTCATTCTTAGTGTACTACAGGTTCAAAACGAGCCTACAATGTACTAAAAATGAATATTTATTATGGTCCTAATTAACAACGTATAAATTGTGTATTTTTAGTATTGAAATTGGAAACGTCTAGAATATAAATGTGTTTCTAAGTCAAAATGCAGAGAATTTGTGAATGCAATATAAGGTCATAAAAATCCTAATATGTTAGTATTGTTTTTGTAGTTCATTTTACCAGCTTTAGGTATGTATGAGGTTGTTTTTGTAGTTCATTTTATTTTCACGTGTTTTTCGAATAAATGAAAAGAATATGTTCCCAATTTCTAATGGAATGGTTAGTGACAAGTGTATTCATGTCTATGCTTCTTCCATATATATAGGCCTATTTTAAGTGTAAAATACTTAGGCGAAATTTTCATTTTTACCCTCATTCTCCACCATACTAAATAAAACATCATTTTCCTTCAAACCCTAAGTTTATCTGCTAGTTAGGAAGACAAAGAGAGTGAAGATAGTGATTCTTCCAATTTTCAAAGGTGAAAGGAGAGATTACTACACCTTTGAAGAGTATAATAAGCCCAAGATTGAAAAGAGACAATCGGGAACTTCAAGTCACACCGAAAATCGAAGGAAAAGTTAAGAAGAACATCAATAAGGAGAATCGTCGCTTCATTTTTCTTTTTCTTTCTTTGTTTATTGAATTTCCTTAATATACTGATACGTCATTGATTGGTGATGATCAATGCAGCAAGAATAATGTATATTACCTTATATATGTAATTAGGAAATAATTAGTATTTATGTGTAATTGATAATTAGGAGAATAATTAGTCATTTCATTATTATAATTACATTATTTTAGGAAGTGAGATAGTATATATAGGGTACTCTATGTAATGTTAACGCATGCAAAAATCATTTATATTGAAGAGTTCTTCATTTTCTTTCCTTTGATGCGTATCACTCTCCACCCCTTCAAAAAACACATTGTCCTCAAGGTGTAGAGAGGAATAGAATAAACACATCTTTGTTGAAGCGGTTCATGCAACGATTGAAATGGTTCTTGAGCTTGATCGTGACACATAAATGGCCTCCCCTTTTGGCTTGTACCGTCTAAAAATATATCTTGCGCCCCAATGTTGAGTTCCAAGTCTAAGGTAGTAGTACTCACAAGTCTTGTCTCAAGATAATCTTCAAGAGACTCTAAGTTGTTGAAATCTTGAATGTTGCTTTCGTCATGAGTGGTTGGGAGAGGAACTGTTGTTATTGATGATTCCTTGGACCCTGCGCTATTTGGTTCTTCTTGAAAAGTTGAATTATAATAATTAGAAGTGAAATGATTAGGAGAAATGATTTTTGCATGCGTACGGGTCCTTTCGTAGAAAAGATCTCATACAATACAAAATCATCAATGGAATACCATACTTGATGTACAAAAACCCACCAATTCACCAATCAATTATTAGGAGAAATGATTTTTGCATGCGTTAACATTACATAGAGTACCCTATATATACTATCTCACTTCCTAAAATAATGTAATTATAATAATGAAATGACTAATTATTCTCCTAATTATCAATTACACATAAATACTAATTATTTCCTAATTACATATATAAGGTAATATACATTATTCTTGCTGCATTGATCATCACCAATCAATGACGTATCACTCCTTGCCCCTTCGAAAATCACCTTGTCCTCAAGGTGGAAGTATAAGTGGTTCTTCTCTGGAGTTCTACCCAACACAAATATTCAACCCAAATTTTTGGTTGAAAATTGTTAGGAAGATTGTACATCAAGTACAAGGCTAGACTGCACCAACATCGTTGCAATATACAGACAAATGAGAATTCCTCATTGTGTAGCCCGGTAACAAAATCTATTGTATCTTGCAGTGTGTTCTCTTGGATATAAACTGTGTTTTCCATGAGGTAGTTTTCTTCGGTAGGAGAAACTAGTGGTACATTAATCTTTTCTGGCACACTTTCATCCTCTTTATTAGGACTCAAACTTGTACAATTCTTCATAACTGTCATTGGTTCTTCAATTGTCAATGGAATACTAGGAAGGGGTGGTGGTGATATCAATGGTGGAGACCTATCGAAGATTTGTAAATTGTTGTCCATGCTTAACTCCGTGAGATCACGAACACTTTTATCATCAACCACATTCATTGACACCTCAAATTGTAGTTGAGCTTTTGGCACTGTTTCATTGAGGATATGTACATGCTTTCTCGGGCCATCTAGTTGATGTTGATCTTTTTCCAATAATTGATGAAGATTGTTGTGAGACGAATAATTGCTAGTGCAATGGTTAATCTCCTCAATTGATACAATCAAACTTTGCAATGTTTGATTAATAGTTTGGAGTTGGAGATTCAAATTATTGGTGTGGATAATTTGATTATGGACAAAAACTGAGAGATTTGTTACTAACCGATTTGTCATCAGTATGTAAAAGATCAATATGTTGATTTCAAGAATTGTGATGAAAAAAAAAAGGATAATGATAAAGAAAAAAATACGAATAAGGAAAAATTTTGTGGTTTTTTTTTTTTCGGATTTGTTTGAGAACCTTTTTTTTTGTTTTTTGTTTTTTTGATATATGAATAAAAAAGAAAGGATCAAACAATGGAAGAAATGTAAATACTTGTTGTTTTTTTATTTTTATTTATTTTTTTTATTTTTTATTATTGTTTTTTTTTTTTTGTTGGCAAAAAAAAAAAAAAAAACCGAAAAAAGAAAGGAGAAAACGAAGTAAAAAAAAAAGGAGAAAATTTGAAAAAGAAAAAAAGTATCATATACATGTAATGAAGACAATATTATCAATGGTTCTCTAAAGTTATTTTGAGATTTTTTGGTAAAATGCATTTATGAACCTATGTGTCTTGTTCTTAAATTCTTCAATATATATATATATATATATATATATATATATATATATATATATATATATATATATATATATATATATATATATATATATATAGGGGTTCTAGTGCAGTAATTTGCTCAGATGCGGACGTGCGGTTTAATATGAGCCGTTGATCAAATCTAGATCAACGGCTCAAATCAATAAAAATCGGTTTAATATGAGCCGTTGATCAAATCTAGATCAACGGCTCAAATCAATAAAAATTAAAAAAAAAACAAAAACAAAAACGTGCCTCTGGAAATACCAAACAACTTAACCTTAAGCATGAAAATGACGCACCTTCAATACACAAATCATGCACTTTAAGTACAAAATCACGCTCCTTATGAACAAAACCACGCACCTAAGGTTTTAAAATTGCACACCTTAAGTTTCAACAACTCACGCACCTTAAGTATATAAATCACGCACCTTAAGAAGGAAAACAACACACTTAAGAAGGAAAACCACGCATATTAAGCTTTAGGTTGGCGCACCTTAAGTTTCAATAACTACTTACATTAAGCACACAAATCACGCACCTTAAGCACAAAAATCACTCACCATAAGCACACAAAAACTAGACACCTTAAGTTTCAACAACTACTCACATTAAGCACACAAAAACCACGCACCTAGATGCAAAATATTATAAATTAAATTACATTTAAATAAATAATTCATATATATTCAACAAAATACTACTAAAATATTCATATCTCAAAAAAATAAATCTCAAGGCCGGCAATTAAGTAGATCCGATGTCTATAATATTTCTAAAATTATATATATATATATATATATATATATATATATATATATATATATATATAATACATGCATAGTATGCCGTACATATATTTGTGTGTAATGGGGCTTAAACGTATGTAGTTATATACTTACGTATATATTTTTCGGAGAAGGGGCGGGGAGAGTTCTCTCCATCCCTGCTCCTGTCCCTGACGGGAAATTAAAAAAAAATCTCCCATCCCCACCCCCGTTCCCCTATTTTTTTATTCCCATCCTCACCCCCGTTCCTCTATTTTTATCCCCATTCGCATTTTCGTCGAGGCAGGTCGGAGAGTCGAGTTTACTGTCAAATAGGGGTACAATTGACATCTCTAGTTAATTGTTTTGTTTGATCTTGTATATGATTGAGGCTTCGTTATATGATAAACTCTATGAATTTGTGTTGTTGCTATAAGAATAGAACACATTTTTGGTACACTACACAAACTCTTGTTCTTACTATGAGAATAGAAGATCAAAAGGATTAGAGCTTTAATTTTGTGCTATGTGCTTGTTGTGCCAAACTGCCAATATAAATATATAATGGACTGGACTTGTCTTGAGAATAGAGTCTAAGGTTCGATTGGCTTACCCCAAATGCCTACAAGAGTAGCATTTGGGTGCATCTCTCTCTGGCTTCAAATACACTCCCCCTTTTTTTGTTGCTTTACTTATCTTGCTATTTGTTCACTTGTTTCCTTATTAATGATTGTTTACTTGTCTATTTCACTATTCCTCGATCTGGCTTGAGCTAGCTTCTACATAACTTGCTTTCCAAATTCCTAAAGGATGACACTCTGTGAAACCACCATTTCACAAACTCACCCGTTTAGACCATATTAGAGAATTTTTTATACAGTAATTTAATTTGTACAAAAAGAAAATAAGAATATTAACTTTAAGTTTAAACAAAAAATAAATCTAAAGAAGGAACTTAGGGATTG